TAAACAGCTGCTTCCTTCACCGTTTCACTCATCGCCTCAAACTTTCCTCAAAGTTTTTTTTGTTTTTGCAGTTGCATCAAGTTATTGCTATAAAATTGACATAAACAAGTTAGAGCTGAAAAAGAGAAAAATCTTGAAGCTGGGATTAGTAAAAAGAAATAGTTTGAGACTTGAAACTCATGAAGTGGAGATGAAAACTTTTCAAAAACAAAGAAATGATTTAGGCTTTGGTTTGGAAATAAATTGTGGCTAGTTAAAGAGTTATAGATTTGAAATAATAATTGCAAATTATCGATAGAGAATAGTTTTCAAAAAAGTAACTCTTGAAAGAGGTTAAAAGAGTAGATCAGATAGAATACAAAGTACAGAGATGGTTTAAATTCAAGTCTAAAGAAAGGTCACGTTTTTGAGTGAAGCGTGTTCTCGCGGAATCAAGAAGGAAACGCTCAGGTGGCCGGGCGGGAGATGTAATTTCGGATGGTGGTGGATGTGAAACAGAGACGAGAGGGGAGTGAGGGTGGGACCCTCTAGGGAAATGGATGGACAAAGAAGAGGAGGAGAGTGAGAAGTTTTGTCTCACACACGTTGTTCCCCTTCTTTTTTTCTTCCAACAATATAGAAAGAGGAGTGGTTGATCGACCGATGAACCTCTCCCCTCTCTACCTTATCCTTTTCCCTTTCAGAACACCTAGATGCCCTCTCGCATTTCCCATGCTTCAGTGCATTGTTTTGTTTTCGGAAATCATACCCCTTACTTGAGAAGGTCCACAATTTTGCAGAAACTTGAAGTTTTGGTGAGCAAGCAAAGAACAAACGTGAAGGGTTTAGGTTTTCTTGAAGATTTAAATTTATAAAGTTTAAGGGAAAGTCCTTTTCTCTACAGATTTGGTTCCTTTTCCCTAAATGAAATGAAAAAATGAATCTATGTAACATAGATTTTAACAATATATTGGGTTGGTGAATTGAAAACCTGGCTTCTGGCTACGGTCATATGTGGCAGGATAGAGTTGGAGCGACTTTCTCTCGAAGAGTCCCATTTTGGTGTCAATGGAAAAGTGTAGGAGGATCAAGAATCAAGCTTATATCCAAATTCTCAGAACGATTCAAAAACCGGTTTTCAAGAAATACCAAATTTACGAATTTTCACAAAACTTGCATTTTAAGCGAAACTGACGAAGTGTATCTTTTTGGAAATTTGGCTATGAGCCTAATTTTGATTCTCTTCAACTTTTCTATTAACAACAAAAAATGTGGTTTCTTTTGAAGAAAGTGCTCAAAACTGGGACATCTCCAGTCCTCCATTCTTGAGTCTCACACTTGTCTCACACACAAACCAAAATCCTACAACGAAAGAGGAACCGCAATGGGCCTATAAAATGGGCAGAAGTCGTCAATAATAATGGAAACTATTTGGAATGATTTGATGGTTTTATTTTGAAGAAATTTTAGTTCAAAGTCCGGCAGTTTTCAATTCACCAACCCAATAAATTTAAACCAACACGATGGGCCAAATAACATGATTCAAGTATAAAGAAGCGTACTTGAATGGCCAAAGAAAAACCAAAAAAACACGAATCAAAAATTTCGAGACAAGGTAGCAGAAATCAAATTTGTGTGAGTTGTGAGTGGAAGAAGAAAACGAGAGAAAGATTCGACTCAAGAAAGGTTCTGCTTTGAGTTGTCTTTTTGTTCGATTCCATCAAAATATATCTATCCATAAAAACATGTTAAACAAAGACAAGATATATCTTAACACTTTAAAGCTAAACTAAAACTGCTTTTGAAATACAGCAATTGGAATTGAGGCTAAAGGAAGAGATCTTCAAAGCAATGCCAAATGAGGCTAATCAGAGAAAGAGTTATTTCACAGCTTTCTTCAAGTAGCTAGGAAATTTTTAGTTGTTTTGATCACTTTAAGAATGAACGGATCTATTCTTAAATACCCCAATTATCAAAACGCTCTTGAAATCCCGTCAAAAACGCCAGAATTTCCCCGTTTAGATGGAGTGAGCGACGAGTGGGAGATTCGAAACGGAAACACCTCACATAATCATCGAAACATGGTTTGTCCATCGAAATTCTCGGAAGAAGAACTTAATTTATATATTTCGGAAATAAAAGCATAGCAGGATACTTATTTGTGTTTTTCTTAGAGAATTATTTGTTTGTTTCGGAGGGAAATAGTCTCACCAATTCCAAATTCTCAATCTACTATATGCAGATTACAGAGTTCAAACTTTCAATGCTTACTACCAGTACAATGAGGCGGGATGCGAGAGATTTCTATTGATTTTTCTATCACGATTCAGTTTATGATCTCGGAAAAGCGGCCAAGAGTCGACAATGAGTAAGAGGCGAGGCTTAAGAAAAGAGAAATGGTTCCAGATCTTTTAACAACTTAAAACCAGAACGATAAATTTTTCCTGTGTTCTCCCAGAGCATAAATATCGTTAACCAGGGATCTATCTCTTGTAGCCTCAGTGTATTTGTAATTTATGAGATTTATGATCAGTTTTTTGGTTAATAAGAGTGCCGTTTTGATCAAAGGATCAACGTTCAAAATGTGCAAAAAGTTCTCATTTATTCGTGATAAATACGAGAAACTCTTCATAATTGATCTGTCCATCCCGGTTCGTGTCCACTTGTTTCATCATCGATTTCAGCTCTTCGTCGCTCAACTCGGTCCCAAACGCCTCAATAACACGTCGAAATTCGGCTTTCGATATCAAGCCATTCTGATCTTTATCGTGGGATCCTGGAAAGCCGGAGGCGGAAATTCTCGGCTTTCTGCTCGTTGACACTTCGATTGATGAGGAGCGAGGAACCCGTCGAAATCGAGCACTTTATCCCCAGCCTTGTCGGCCGAATCGATTACACACTATAATATGCAATAAAGTGTAACATTTCTATATACCGTAGCGGACAAAAGTTTAACGACAAACTCTTTGTCGATAACTTTTCAACCTTTTCAACCAAGCTCCATATCAATACAAAATTTAGCTATGAGATGTGAAATTAGTGGAATTTTTATAAAATAAAAAGTAAAAGTAATCGGCTTTCAGTTAAAGATTTTTGAGAACTTTTATTGATTTTAACAGCGACATAAGTTTAACAACTTTGTGATTGTGTACACTTTTCCATACCACACTCAAGTGAGTTGATAGCTGAATACGAAAATGCGCTCTAAAGTAAAGCTATTAAGCGAGTCAACTACTTATCTTTTGTCCAATGAAAGAGCATAAAGAAAAGGAACCTTCTGGTCATACATTTCAGCGTTTGGCTCAGTCATCTGACAACCTTGTAATCTCATTTCGTGAATCAAGCATTTTATCTTTGTGAAACCGTTATCGCTTGTATCTGTACTATTTTTTTAAGTGTTTGAACGTGCGCATAAAGTATTTAAATCAAATAAAAGGGCATAGACGCAACTCACTCACGAACAAAACTTGCATATTATTCTCTTAGTTTGTATAGTTGTATCTTGTAGCGCGCAGAGTGAACTTTAGCATGCTTCTTTTCTGGTAATTGTTTTTACTCACAATCAATTCGCTTAATCATTTTAGGTATGGGCAAAGCGAAACAAGTGTCTGTGGCTCATCGGGAATCGATTATGAAATGGCGAAAGGAGGGAAAGAAAGACCGATGGGATTGCGGCTTGATTGGTGTCAACAAAGGCAAAAAAGTTTTTCACTAATTTTACATCTCATAACCAAATTTTGCATTGATATGGAGCTTGGTTGAAAAGTTATCGACAAAATTAGAAAGTTGTTAAACTTTTATCCATTATTGTATAAGATAAAGTTATATACGTAGAATTATCCCAACTGTGCTTTCACAAATCAGATGTTATTATCTATATGGACTTTTCGTGGCTCTAAGAACTTTAGCACGAACGCTAGTTTCAATGAACTGTAATCAAGCCTTTTATCGATAAACAACCATGACCTGTAGCCGTTTATTATCCAATTTCGTCCGGAGTAGCGTTTCACTTACGGCTCCGAGCTCGTTCAAGGAAATTCTCTCATTCCCATCCCTGTCCGAAATGTTTGAATGCCAATTTCAGATCAGAGATTTCGTGGTCGAGATAGCTTTTTGATGCATTAGAAAGGGGTATAGAAGTATGGATTAGATGTTTTATGTAGAACAAAGAAGAAGTGTTTTTCTCTAGAAAATAGCCTTTTGGAACTTTTAGTGACAAAACACAGAACAGCTCGAGTTACACTCAGCAACCCAGTGACAGATCATGGATAGGAGACAGCTATCACCCTCTCAAAAATTTTGAAAGAAAAGGGGATCATCTCTTTCAAGATGAAATTCAACTGGTTTTTTCTAGTATTAGCCTAGGGGGCAAGGAGCAAACACTGCACATACAATGTGCCGTAGACTCTCTCTTACTAGATCGTTTACCACTGAGAGCTTAGCCTAATATAGCTAGTTACCACACTATACTATAATATATGAGAAAAAAACCCAAAAACTACTACTATAATACTAAGTCCCGGTGAAATACTATAACAGCTATTGTAATGACAGTTCGTATATATGGAAAAAGAAATCAATTATGTCATCTTGTGCATACTGTAATGGAAAAGTCATTTCTTTTATGTGAGCTATTTTACTGTTCACCGACTAGGAGATCGATCCGTGAACTTTATTTCTGACCTTCTCCCCCTTTACCCCATTCAGCAATTTATAAACTAGTAATTAGAGAGCTATTTGGAACAATGTTTTTTTGCCGAAAATATTTCTAGAAAAATTATACTCAAGTTTGAGCAAAAAAAACGATTTGAAGCCAGTTGCCTTTAAAGAACATAGTTATTAAATAACAAAGTCTTTAAACAAACTTTTTGTACTCTTTTTTCGAAGAGAAGCGAATTGCAGAACCGGGTTTGATTTATTGTTTCAATTTCTGGTGGCTGTGTTTACCTGTTTGCCTTTTTTTTTAGTTCCTAGTTCATTTGCTAAAACGAATTCATTCTAAAGTCTTTCCAAATAAGCAAATGGCAAATGGAACGCTTCTTTTCGATGAAAATATTAATGGATCAACAAATGAAACGGATTCACCTCCTCTGCCTGATGTCAGTCAAGCCGAAATTCTCTTCGATATTCTTTTCATGGCGATTGTATGTTTTGTTTAACGCCTTCAGAACTGTATCTTGTACTGAATATTGTGAAAGGGCTAAAAATAAAAAACAGAAGCATTAGAATTGTGTAGCTACAAATGACTCAAGTAGCTCTCATAGCGAATATGCTAATTGAACGTCCCCCCTATTCAGAAATAATTTCAAACAATTAGAAAGTACAAGAAAGAAAAAGCTCTAAAATGATAGCAAATTAGCTTATGTGAAAGTAATTTTTCCTTTTCAGACTGGTTTCTCGGGAATCTTGTTCGGCTTTTTGGGTGTTATCGTCGTTCGAAAGAACTTTTTGGACGGTTTTCAAGAGAAACGAAACTAATTTGCTTTTCATTTGAAGGCATCGCCGAACATTGTGCTTTCATCGACTTATTCCAACTGACACTCATCAATTTCTGTCACCTCTTTGGGCGGTGCAGTGCGCTATTTGGTGAGTACGAGAGTAGTTTCGGTGTTTGGGGAAGCTGATTGACACATTACTTCAGGGACCCTCAATGAAGCGCTCCCATTTCTCGATCACTTTGCGGGTTTTGTCATGTGTGCACTGGCGATCAGTTTCCCGCCAAAGGTATTCTCTTTATGCAACTGATGGCTCTTGACGCTCGTTTGAGACTTTAAAAATCTTTAGTAACGGGGGTTGAAATATATGAAATATTATTGTTAGTTTTTCCCGATACTTTTCCAGCTTTTACTCGGCATCAATCGCTTTTGTGCCCTTGCATTTGATGGCTGTTTTTATAAAGACTTCGAAAAGAGCAAAACCTTTCAATATGCAATCATCCTTGTCTATCCACTGATGTCAGCTATCGTTTGGAGTATATCGGGAGCACCCTAATAATATTAAATGATCATCTAGAATGATGCTAAAAGATTAGATTGACAACTTGGAAAGCTTGGTACACTTATTCATTGCATTTTTTGAAATAAATAATTTGCATCAAAATTAATCTACAGGCTTTACCAATAAGAAGGTCCATTTATCCCCTACAAAGAAGGTTTTCGGACAGATTTTAAAATGCTTCGATTTTGAGATTTCTAGGGGGCAAGAAGTTGAGGAATCAAAAGTGATGGAACACTTGATGAAGGATTTGGAGCATCCTTTCTTCTCCACATAAACCTATTTTGATGTTAGTAGAAAAAAGATAGAGCATGAAAAGTTAGGCATATAGCCAAATACCCCCTTAACTCGATTTTTCTAATTACTTTAGTTATATGTCTGTTTGAAAGGATTTTCAGAAAACTCTGAATTCTGCTCAAACTCGTTTCAAAAGTTGTCCAAATTTGCTTAAGGGTTTCTTAAATTAGATAATATATAACTTTTATTTAGAGAAGTCTAATTGAATTGGCGTATTGGAATATGCTTTCTGAGAAATACGAAAAAGTGTACCAACTCTCTGGGTTGCTAATCTTTCATAGCTTTTGTTTCAGCTGGCTGTCGATGTATTTTCAATCCATTACGGCCAAAATTCTTTTATGTCGAGGGCGATTGATGGAGAAGTGATGATTTACTGGCTACAAGTCAGCTTTTCTCAATTCTCCAAAGTATGGAGCGAAAAAAACGTCAACTCTTTGAGAATATAATCGGTTGGATTTGTGCTCGTTTTTGCCATATTTATCGACTTTTCGGTTTTCTTTATGATGCACAAGAGGGAGTGAGTCCCTTTTGAGAGGTGCAAACGGTCACTAGTCGACAAAAGGGCGAACAGTTGAGAAAAAGAGTTCGAATTGGCTATCAGGTGGGGTATTTTATACGAAAAAGAGTCGGTAATCGGTAGATTTCCAAAACACGGGCATCGGTTTGGTGCTCGTTCGGATCAGGATAGAATCTGGCCTCAGGAGGAGCTGCAGATGGTCACCAATTTGGGCACCGGCTTCATCTTGACTATTTCGATTGCTGTCGCCGGCGAATATGTGACCATCGTCGTCGCTGGCCGCTTTCTGTTCTCTTCACGACGAACGGCAATTTTGCACGCTAATCACCTGGTACTCGTGCTCACTAAAATATAAAATTTATTTCCCTATAATGAATAGAGATCTCTCTTTAGATAGGCCCTCCCCTTCATTTCCTCCCTTTTCAACAATGGAGTCCGACTAGCAGAATTTGATGAGAATCTGTCTATAAAAATGATTGCATCGATAAGCTTCAGCAGCATCCGTTTATCTATACAGAGCTCATGTTCTGTGCATAAGCAGCATGATTCAAATCTAGAAATAAATTGAGCTTTTCCCAAGAAATTTACAGTTAACAGCTCTCCTTTTTAGCCTTTCCTATGTGATCCTGCTATGAGAAAGGAAACCGAAAGATAGGGTCATCATTTCTGTCTCAAGCAACAACTGACAGACAAAGAGGCAAAGAGAAAATTAGTGAGACGGAAAATCAAAGTGACGGAACACATCTAAGCTTTTTTTTCTCTTGATGATTTAAATAAATATTATCGTATAAACGCAAAAGAGTTAGTTGATAAGAAGGGAAAACTGCATGTTCAAGATGACTTTTGAATCGTTTCTCGGAAAAGTTCTGCTAAAAGCTAAAAGGAAAAGGTTTTTGTGCGTTCTCTCGGCGAAAATTTGTTTTTCAAACACAAACGCCCCTATCTGGCCCCACGCCATTTTCATAAGACCCTGTTTTGCCTCGATTCGGTAGCTAGAGAAGAAAAACCCTGTGAAAAGGAAAATAAGTGCTCTCTATTCGAGAGAGGCACTTGAAAACACACAAAAATCCATCCCACCCACCAAAATACAATTCGACAATAACGAATACTACAATGCCATCCATATCTATAGGACATCCCAGAAAACGGCTTCTTTTTCCGCTAGTTTACTCCCATAGTAGATATGGGCTTCGGATCGGACCAATATCGACTTAGAAAGACGAGGCTCCCCGCTCACCGCTCGCCATTGTCGACGATTAATTTGACAAACTTTTTCTACGAACTTTCTTGCCAACCTAATACATATATAGATGAACGAGGGTTAACTTCTTAGCTCTTCACCTGCAAAAAAAACTTGAATGCTTATTTACAGGGTGAATCAGATCAAGTTTTGTTCAAGACATTCCATTGCTTTCATCATATCGGGCGATCAATTGCAGTTGCGCCTTCTTCGAGAAGAGTCTCACATGGGGGATCAGTCGGATGAGCAACAACACTTGAGGCGGATCTCAACAAGATGAAGAAGTACTGCACCAAGATTCGAGTCATTGCTCATACTCAGGTATAGTTTCCCTTTTATCATTACGAATAACAATGTAATGGGCAATGACGATAGGCTGATGCCTACAATTGTGAGGATTTTCCTATCAATAAAATGTTGTCTTCCTTCTTTAGCTCGAGATTTATTTATTATTAAAATCATTTGGTTCGGAAAACCTGATTATTATTTCTTTTTAGCAAAAGTTGTTGAAGAAGCGCGATAAGAAGGCACACATCGTGGAGATTCAAGTTAATGGAGGAACTATTGAGGACAAAGTTAACATCTTGAGACCCAAGTCCCAGTCGATAGTGTCTTTTCCAAAGATGAGCTTATCGACATCATTGGAGTCACCAAAGGACACGGATTCACGGGAGTCACAAGCCGCTGGCACACCAAGAAGCTTCCTAGAAAGACCCACAAAGGTCTCCAAAAGGTAACTTTGCATAAAATAATACCATTTTATTGTTCTTTTAGGTCGCTTGTATCGGAGCTTGGCATTCATCCCGTGTATAATTCACGGTTGCTCGTGCCGGTCAAGAGGGATATCATCATCGTACTGAAACGAACAAGAAAATCTACCGCATTGGCCACTCATCTGAGACCCCGGAAGGCAAAAACAATGGAGCAACCGAATTTGATGCTACTGAGAAGACGATTAACCCTATGGTGGGTTTCTATTTTAAAATGTTTTTATCTGGCAATGATGTGTAAAGTAGTGGCCCTACACATTTGTGAGGAAACAATACAATATGAACTGGGCCGTAAAAAGTTTATTTCACTTAACTATACACTTAGATGTTTTCTTTAGGGAGGCTTCCCTCATTATGGAATGGTCAAGCAAGACTTCGTCATGATTCGTGGATGTTGCCTTGGAACAAAGAAGAGACTAATCACGCTCCGCAAATCGCACTACACGCACACAAAGCGCTTTGCTTTCGAGCAAATCAACCTGAAGTGGATTGACACCTCTTCCAAATTCGGACATGGACGTTTCCCAACTGCTGCCCAGAAGAAGACCTTCATGGGGAAATTCAAGAAAGCTTTCCTCGTCGAAAAGGAAGACGTTCATCTTTAAGGATGATTTGTTATGCTTGAAATAGATTGTTTCATCCATAAAAGGTCAATGTTTTCTGAGATTTCACAAAAAAGATACTGTCTCTTTCAACTTTTCCAAACAACCAACAGACAGAGACAAAACATGTTAGGCGATTTCGAGGTCATTCGTCCCCAGACACGTCATATCCACGAAAATAGACGAAAGACGATGAACTTGGTGTGTTGATCTCTCAATGATTACAAAACACAAAAAAAGGACTTTATTTTCTTAGACTCTGTATATCATGACTGTATGTGAGAACTGTTTGTAAACACGAGTGAAATTCGGTGAAATCCCCCCCATTTATTTTCGGTATAAATAAAAGTTGAGTGCACATTCAAGAAATTCAATTGCATATCTAACTGAATTACGCTTACTGTATTGAGAATGATTTCCACGAAAGTCTTGGCTCTCTTTTTGGTGCTTCTCGTCGCCGTTTGTGTTTATGCTGAAGAAGAAAGTGAACATGGATTGGAAGCGACGGGACACGAGAAAACGTGCGTTTCGAAAGTTGATTTCATACGGGTTCACCTTTGGTGAATTGAAATTTGAAGTCAAAACTACTCGTTTCTAACTTGACAGTACTTGATGATTGATCTTATAACATTCTTCATTTCAGATTGATCCGAAATCGCCGATGGTGGCCATGGGGAATGGGAATGGGCGGAATGGGATATGGGTGAGTGTGATTGGGAAAATAAGTGATATAGTTAATCACTGAAAAGATATCGGTATTCATTTCTCTGTGATTTCTATTTGAGACTAAATTGACCGAGATGAAAAATGGTAAACGCAAATTGATTTCATTGATTTTCAGAATGGGTATGTATCCGGGCATGATGATGGGCGGATGGGGAATGAGACCATTCGGCATGTGGGGACGATAGAATCAAATCAAATTAAACAACAATTGAATAATCGTTTCGATATGAGATTTGTAGATTGTGTAAATAAAGGGTTTCATTTTTTGCACTTTTTTTTGCATTTTCTATCGACAAGTATCAAAGAGTTGACCCAAAGTTCGATGAAGATTATGCAAAATGACGCTTGTAAGCTGCAGAGACAAGACAAGACTCCAAAAATCATAAAAAAAATCGACATTTTCTCAAAAAAAGATTCAATTTTAATTTGGCTTCACTGTTTTTACGGGGTCTTTCGAAGAAATGTCGATGAAGATTGATACGGAGAGGTTGGCGTTCTCATGTTCTGCTGGAGTTCTATGCTTGGAGTTCTATGTTTGGAGTTCTATGACCTGTTCTTTAGAGTTCTATGACTTTTCTTTTGGAGTTCTATGACTCCTTTCTTCAAAATTTTGTATTCAATAAACATTAAGCTTATAATCTACATGCTTTGATTATAAAAATATTACATTATATTTCTTTTGATTACGAAAAAAATCTTCGCTTTTTAATTAACTAGCCTTTCATCGTTGGAAAACGGGACTACGAGGCTTTTCATCAAGACTTACACCTGATTTTTTAGTTTTAACTCAATAAGTAAATACATGCTTTGATTGCTTTTACAAAAGTCACCTATAGTCACCTATAGAGTTCCAAAGAACAGTCATAAGCAATAAAATTGCTGCCGAAATAATCATTTCGGCAGCAAGAACACAATCCAACGAAAATTCGCTTGCAATAACAACTTCAGCCCACCACCCTCGAAAGGCGCGAAAAAGACAAGCTGGCGATCGATCTACATGGCAACTTTGATGATGGCACTTGCTGGTTATTCTTAAAACAATGAACTTTTTGTACAAAATGAACATTTAGGCATCAACATGTCGATCTTTTTTATGGTAAATTTTACGGTGAATTTACTTATGCAACAAATTTTTCTTTAGGCAATCTGGCCCTACATGCAATCGGTGAGAGATTCTCGGTGAAATCATCGTTGAGCCAAAGCATAAAATACAGCATTGAAAATTTAAAAAAAAAGTCACCTATAGTTTTTCTTTTATTTTAGATCACAGAAAGATCGACAATCGAATGGCTGGGGTGGATAATGTCGGGGAACAGCTTGGGATGTCTTTTTGTGAGTTCGAAGACATCACTCCTATAATTGAATATCTTTTGAAATTCTTCAGCTTAAATCTTCTTTCCTTGTTTCAAAAAAATTCAATCCTTTCCTTTCTGTAACCTTTCAAAGAATTATTTGAAAAAAGAATCAAAGAATTTGCAGAAATCGAAATTGAGATCCCAATCCTTCTAGGCCAATGTCTCTTTTGGATGGTGGGCTCAAAAAACGATGAAAACCGCTCATCCACTCATTTTCGGTTTCTCGATGGCTGCGATTGGTAAAGTAAATCAGAAATATTTGATTTCAAAAATTTTAAGGCAATTTGATCTACTCAATTCTGCCGATTTTACCTGAACAGGCAGCTCTTCCATTAATGCTTTTTGGGAGGATTTTGACCGGTTTCTGTACAGGTTAAAGAGATTAATTGAAATCGAGGAAATTCACGTTTTCTAAAGGCTGTCTGGGCGTTCTTCGCTCATTCGTTGCCATGTGTTCGGCGGTGGAAGATCGCATGAAAGCGATGTCGACGCTTAGCACTGGGTTGACGATTGGATTATCGATTGGGCCGGTCATTCAGGTGAGTGTACACGGGCTGGATTACGGTACGGTTCGTCTGTCTGTCTGTCTGTCTGTATGTCTGTCTGTCTGTCTGTCTGTCTATCTTTCTAAAACAATGACTCTTTTGCCAGATGTGCTTCATGCCGATCGGCTCCGAGGGAATCCGCGTCTTCGGTCTTATTCAACTCAATCAATACACGACTCCCGGTTTCATCATGTTCATCGTTGGGATCATTTGCGTGATTCTCTTGGTGACAATCTTCGAGGAGAATTATGTGGGAATCATTTCAGATGATGAGAAAACAAGTAAATCTCATTTCTGCATATGACACTCAAATTCCTCCTAGGCAATCCCTGGTTGGTTATCCCGAAATTCGATCGAGCTCCCGTTCTTGTCATGTTCTATTTGTGGGGACTTTTGATGACAATCGCCACATCGATCTATTGGTATGCGGGGAAAGGCTTACAATTACAATAAAAGTCAATATCGGCTACATTAACAGTACCGTTCATAGCAACTCAACCATAACGATTATTCGAAGATCTAAAGCCTAAGGAACCTAGCAATACGATAAAGTGCTCTAGTGTGGCCACTCCGATGAGTATGGCAATGTTCGGATGGAGTAGTGAAGAGGCGGTGATCTACAACGCAGTTCTACAAACCGGCTCGTGCATCTGCTCGGCAGTGACTGCGTTTCTTCTTGGAAGGACAAGACTTGGGAATATGTACGTAGCTCTTGACACAATACAATAATACAAATTTTTGATGTAGTCAAACTAAGCTCAAAGATCAAAGATCTAAGCAGATCTCCATTTCTTTTTCTAATTCCTAATTTGATCAGGGATCGTCGTAAACAATTGATCAGTGGTTTCTTGATGTTTTTGCTGATCATGATCCTCTTTTATCCATGGTTTTTCTATCCAGGACCACAGAATGGTATTTTCTTAAAGAATAAGCAAAAATCTAAAAGTTTTACACAGAAAGATATGATCGCTGCCTGCAACTTTGATTGGTGTGCGACAAGGAATAGGTTTTGTTTAAAAGAGAACAGGATCCAATTTTTCAAATTCAGAATCCCATTTTGGGTTTATTGTTTCTCTTTTGTCATCCTTCTTGGAATGGGTTTCCCGCTTTGCATGACTGCACTCAACACAAGACTCTCTGAGATTTTGGGACCAAGGAAACAGGTTAAAAAGAGAAGGAAAACTTAATGGAACAAGAGTTTTAGAGTTTTGTGCAAGGAATGATGGCATTCACGGGCAGTTTGGCTCAATTCTGGTGTCCAATTCTTGTGGCGTGAGTTGCATTGATCTAGACCGGCTGATGTCCATCTTTTTAATCTTTGATTTAATCTTTTCATCTCTAAAACCAATTTCAGTTTCCTCTACGAAAAGGACGGGTTCCGACCGGTTGCCGTGTTGAATTTCGGGTTGCATTCCGTTGGAATCGTTTTGATCATTTGGGTGTTTGGGAGGATGATTCCATTGGAGATGGAACCACCAATCGGCACACCAACGAAATACAAAAGAGGCACATTTTATCGAATGTGATTTTTGACAATGAAAATTGAGATTATTGTGCATTTTATCAAATCTAGCAACAATATGAGAGTTGATTTCTTGTTCGTTCATCGTTTTCCGTTCATCTATCCGAATGATCTCTTTTTGTGGGATTTCTGAATATGTTTTGCTTTAGCAGCAAAAAAAGATATTCAATCGACTGATTTCTGTAACCAATTGTGTCATTTTCTGTCATTTCTGGTGTCAGATTGCACAATAAACTCTTCCTTTTTGTACATTGTAGACAAAAAAAAGCTTTTAACTCTGAAAAAGAGAAGAAATTTATGTAAAACCAGTGAATAGATAGACAAAATTGATGAGAGTGACCCGAGAAGGAGCCACATTTTGGTGATTGTGGTGATTGATGTCATCATATCTTTGAAAAGTGTACCTGATTTTGCTCTCTATCATGATAAATGCTATTGTATTGATGTTTACAAGAACTGTAAATGAAAACTTTTGACGGCTAGTGCACTAACTTTTTTGCTGACTTCTGACATGTCCTTTTTTGACTTACAGACACTACTGATTCAGGGTTGAACGTCAGATGCCGAAAGTTAACCATCAAAGCTTTTTTGATGAAAGTTTCTGAAGCAAAATTTCTAACCACATTAATTTGCAGATGATTTTAAATATTGATTCAAATTGATTCATTTCATTGATAATGAAATAACGATTAAACTTGAATTGTTTCTTTGTTTCTTTAAACTTGAAAAACTTGATCGATTGTCGATTCTTGCCAATCAAATTCGCTTCTAGATAAAAAAATTTGAAAACGGAGTCAGCCAGAGCTTTCGTTTTCAAGAATGACCGCCATCAAAAACGACGAGATCTGGTAAATAAATAAATAAATGAATAAATGAAATATTTCTTGAAACTTTAGAAAATATTTAAAATCAATCAAAATATTTGTTGAAACTTTAGGAAAAGCGAATCAAAAGGTGAGAAACAAACGAATTGGAGAGCGATTTACATAGCCGGTGCAATGTTGGTATTCTCCGGGATTAATCAAAGCATTTTCTACATGCCCGTCTGGCCGTACACCAAATCGGTTTCTTGATTTTAGATTTGATTTTACTATAAAGGAAAAAGTCACTTACAATATTCTTTTTTAAACTTCAGAACTTTTTCAGATAGCTCCCGAAACATCGGTCTCCGCACTCGGGTGGATCATTTCAGCGAATAGTCTTGGATGCTTAATGGTAAATTAAAGAGAAATTTTGAGAAATCCGTAATCAAGTAAATCAATTTTACTTTTTGAGCTAAGTTTCGAGTTGAACCTTGAACCTTGAACTTTAGGCGAACCCTATTTTCGGCTGGTGGTCTCAGAAGAGCATGAAAGCCGCACAACCAGTCACTTTTGCTTTCACCGCCGCCGCTGTAGGTTTGAAGTTTTTTCGATATTGAAAAAATACGTAATCTTTAGGCAATCTTTTATACAGTTTATTGCCAATTCTCAATTCTTCCTCGATCATCCCAGCCATGTTAACTGCTCGTTTCCTTTGCGGGATTGGAGCGGGTGAGTGGAGAAATTGGGGAAGGGTTTTTGATTTCTAACTTCATAACTTGATACAAACTTAGGATCTAGCTTTTCCTACCTTCAACTTTTCTTAGTGTAGACAAAAAAAGGATTGAACTTTAAATTCTAGGCATTCTAGACAATTCAAATTTAAACTTTCTAGGCACTCTCGGAGTGTTGAGATCGTTCGCCGCGACAGCGAGCGCCCCAAAAGATCGTTTACAGGTTAGCGTTGGTTATAGAGCCAAAAAATGACTTGATTCAACGATCTGCGACTGGCTAAGAGCCCTGCAGCTTAGTCAGGAGGTGGAGGGTTCAATCCCGCGGGCTAGATTATTGTTTCTATTTCCCATCAATGAGTTTTTTTTCTTTCTTACCTTTAGGGCTTATGGATTGAGTGTTAGGGATTGTGCTTTTGTATTGTTTGTACCACATTATTCGTGTGTATAAATGCATTTTTGAATCCGAATTCCAGGCAATTGCCATCTCTTCAGCTGGGCTCACCGCTGGATTATCAGTTGGACCGACGATTCAAGTAAACTTTAAGTGCTCATTCTCCGTCAACTTTCTCTAGTTAATGTTCATGCCAATTGGTTCTGTTGGATGGACTTTTTTCGGTGTTCCTTTCAATCAATACACAACTCCTGGATATTTTGTGTGCATTATTTGTCTCATTTGTATCATTATTTTGCATACGATCTTTGAGGAGAATTATGTTGGGATAATTTCAGACGACGAGAAAGCACGTAAGTGGAAAGAAAAATTGAAGAATTGAGAAAGAAATCATTAGAAAATCCATGGCTGGTGATGCCGAAATTCGATCGAATTCCGGTGGGGATTTTGTTTTTCGTTTGGTCTTGCATGTGCTCGGTGGGAGCCGCTGTGTACTCGTGAGTTCATTCTGTGTTTTCCCCAAACACTACCCGCAATCTGCATCGAAATTATTCAATTAGAGTAAATATGAATAGAGTTGCTTCACCACTAACAATGGCAATGTACGGCTGGTCGTCGGATGAAGCCGTCTCCTATAATGCACTTCTTCAAACGGGCTCTTGTGCCACATCAGGGATCACCTATCTTTTTCTAGCAAAAACGAGATATGGGAAAATGTTTGTTATTGAATTGAGAGCCAATTACAATCATTTTTCAGGGATCGTCGTGTACAGATTTGCCTTGGAATGTCCACTTTTATCATCTATATGATAGCTGTTTATCCATGGTTTTTCTATGAGGGACCACTCGAGTTTGCGAACGCGAATGGTAAAAGAATTTGAATTCTTTCGAAAAACTACTTCAAGAGTTGAATGCGTTTTAGAAAACACAGAGAAAACAATGAAAATGATGATCTAATGATATTTCAGGCACAACTGGTGGCTGTGCTCTTCATTTCACGTGGTGTTCCACTTACACACGTGTTCCCATTCTTCTGTACTCAATTTGTTTCATTTTGGCTTTAGGTTAAGATAGAAGATCGGCTCTTCAGGAAAAGTTTCAGGAATTGGTTTTCCAACGATTGTCGCTCCATTGAATGCTTTGTTCTCGGAAGTTGTTGGACCAAGAAAACAGGTAAGAACTTTATAGCAGGACAATTCGAACTGGACTAAGGCTTGTAAGCCAGATGAGGCCAGGTCTAGTCAGAGGCTAAGTTCAGGGCTCCAGGGCCAGGGCCAGACAGATGACAGTTCCAGGCTTCTAATAGGCTTAGAGATTTTTTATGAGACAGGCAAAGACAGATCATGCAGTCCTTCTGACTCTGATCAGTGCAAGTTCAAAAAGCCAAAGATAGTCATGGCTAACCAAGTCAAGCCAAAGTCAATGACTTTCAATTGACCTTGAACTAGACCTTACTATTGGATTTGGCTTTTTAAAATCGGCTTGAACAGCTCTCTGCTTACTAAGGTGCCACAAAATATTAGATTTTTTTCCAGAGTTTTCTCCAAGGATGGCTCACTTTTTCCGGAAGCACCTGCCAGTTTTTGACACCTCTTTTTGGTAAAATTTAAAATTCTTTCTAAATCACTCAATCCATTTCCAGTTTTGCCCCTTTTCGAGATTTCCGGATTTCGCTGGGTTATCGTGGGCACAATTTTCCTTCATTCTACCGCCATTTTGTTGATATTTTTGTTTAGAAATCGAATGGTTTCGCTGAAAATGAGTCCACCAATTGGAATACCGACGAAATATAAAGAGGCACTTTTTATAAGATGTAATTAGTGAAATGAGAAGATTTCACGTTGTTTTCTTTTGCATGTGATCTCAGTAAATTGTTTATTAAAGCAATTGGATTAAACTCGATAAATGTTCACATTTTCTTAGATATTTGTGGTTGTTGAAGGTGGATCTGTTCCGGTTTTTGGAGATGGATCTGTTCCGGTTTTTGGAGATGGATCTGTTTCGGCTGTGGTCGATATCTGAATAGTTTGTGATAATTGATAAAATAATGGAAAGTCGTAGATCAATCTCTAACAATAAGCAAGCACTGGGGGTAACTGAGTCACACTTTAAGCGCGAAGCCAATTCAACATTTACATGAAAGCTTTCCACCCGATTGAGCTATTCAATCAACAAAACGTTTTCATCAAGTAAAATGCCAACTAGCTTGCGTTTCTCTCAGCTAATTCGTTTTCTAAAAGGCACCTACCTAGTCCCTAAAAACATTATCTATTGTTGTTAGGTTAAGTGGTTTTTGATCTTGGCCAGACTGGCTTCTTCAGTTTTCTAAAAGACATCCTATTTTAGAAAACGGCCGAGAAAACGAAGGTGAAATTAGGTTCGGATTGGAATTTTCCTGTCTAGTAACAACCAATTTAGACTCGATCAGTTCGATTTTGAAATCATTAACCGTGCCTTGTGATACAAATGACGAATTTTACATGATACAATGATGATATAAATGATATGACGAATGATACAAACTAGAGCTAATTAAATGAAAACTGTCTTCGATTACGGTAAATTGGTGCGCTTAGAAAGGATTGTGGAGCCTTTGATGCCCCGCCCCTTTTTCATTGTCAATCCAACTTTGAGCTTAAATATCTTGATGTTGGGCTGTCCAATTTAAATAGTTTTTGTACCAATCGACAGAGAAAGACTTGGCGCATCCGATGATATCAAGTATATTTAAATAGAACAGTCCAACGCCAAGATATTTGAGCTCGAAGTTAGATTCCTAATGGGAGAAGGGACGAAACTCGTATCAAATGTCCGAAAGCCTTTAGAAAGTGCATTACTCACGAGGAAACACTCTACCTGTGTAACCTGTGCAGTTGTTGATGATGCATCAATCGGTGTCACCTTTGTCACCTTTGTCACCGTTGTGCTTGATCGTGTCGATACTGAGAGAATTTTTTTTGCGGTTAATTTTCACCAGACAGAATTTATGACCGATTTACGGCTACGGAAGACGGAATTTTTGAGATAACTCTTCTTCTCCTTTCAAAAATGTACCATTATCTCGAAGCAAAGTTCAAAAGAAAAGGTGTCAATGTCATTGATTCAGTTTATGGCATAAAAAAGCTTACTTTTATGCTTTAAAGTTGTGAAATGTTTTTAGATCTTTAGTTAGCTATGGCTTAGTTTTAGTATCATTGAAAAAGGATACTATAGAAGTTTTACACTACAGTTATATAAGCCGATTTGTTCTTCTAGACTATCAGCTTTCTACCGTAATTCAATTTAATTTTTGATACAAAAGAGTTTCACTATGAGTATTGTAAACGAACCAGTTGTGGGAACGGTCTTCGGACTGACTGTCGAATGACTGGCTCCACTCCATGTCCAAGCGAATTTGAAGCTAAAATAATGAAAAAGGTTGCAACGCTTAAACTTAGCAAAAAAACGCCAAGCAAGGCCAAGTACAGTACTCAAAAAGGTTTATTGTACTTCGTAGAGCCTCATCCAATTGTTTACCTTGTGATTTGCGTTCCATTTACATCCCTCTCATCGACATCTCCTCCATTGAACTCCTTGATCTCCCAGCTTTGGTTAGCGATCAGATTGACTATTGTTCCATAGTAGTGCTGTACACGAAGTTTCACGTAAAAGCCCTAAAAGCGGTTTGTTATGATAGTTGGATTCTTCTCGGAAATCCGAGTCTTTTCATTGTGGAAAACTATCATATGCAAAACCCAAAGCCAATTCGATTCTCTTGGGAATTGGGAAATTAACTGTGCCGGATTTCCGAGAAGAACCGATACTTGTTTTGACTTACAACAAAATTTCCATCAATTGCGATATCCTGTGGATTGTACCATCCTCGGAGTTTCTCCGTCTTGCCAAATTCGATCGATTCGTTGTCTGGCTAAAGTTAGTTTGTTTTTTACAAGTGACGGTATCCAACCCAAACACCCAGCTCAATCCACGGTCCGGTGAGGCAAGTGTCAGCTTTATTTGTTTTACTGAAAATCGTTGCCTTGTTAGTTGTATAAATGTTGCTCAAAAGTGCACAAAGTGCATTCTTTGGCTTACGGTAACGAGTTTTTGTAGACGAAAGCGTTTGCGTGCATTAGAAAAGGTGCATTTACATCTTTAAGATGCAAGAAAGATGCATTTAAATCTTTAAGCACAAAGTATACTTCAAAGAAAATGGCTCAAAAATGGAAATGCATTCTTTCTTTGCACTTTATTTTCATGATGAATCAAACAGGAAAGATTTGTTTAGCTTTTTAAACCAGAACAGTAACCAGTAAAGTAACCAGAACAATATATTGTAACAATAACTTATGAGTTAGCTAAATAAATATAAATTGTAAATATAAAATAAAGTAAAAGTATCTAATTAATGAATCAAATGAATGCTTTATCTTGATCTTGACTCACTCTGCAATCCGCTCAATACAAATCGCGACAAGTGGATAGCATTTCACGCCGAATGCCGACAATTTCGAGCATTTCGTCTTTCCATCGTTAAGGAATCCATTTAAATCCAAGGATCTGAGGTGAACAGTCAATTGATAGGCATTCAATAATGTGATAAGCTAAAATTAGTTGAACGATCCTTTCATTGAAATAGACTTACCGCTAGAAAAACGATGACACTCGCTTGTGTTGATCGCATCTCATTGGTGATCTCAAAGAAGCCTATGAACAATTTAAAAACAAAATAATGAAAAAGAGGAAATATTGAATGAAATATTCAAAGGATATCAAGATATTGACAATAGAATCACATTTATTATGGGATTTAAAAAAAGAAATTCTTTTCATTTTTGATGATGGTGTCCGGGTGTTCAGGTCTGAAATTAGACTTGCTCTGTGAGTGATTGTCATTGTCATTGTCATTGTATTGTTGCTATTGTCACTTGCTATTGTCGAATTCTTTAGCAATGGCTTGGTATCAGTAAAAGAAATTTCTTTTAGTGATCGCAAATAGCTCACACAGAAATTCTTAAGTCCAGTAGGTTGTGCTGTTCCCCGATAGATGGCCATTCGTGTCCTCGTGTAGCTCACTCCATTCACGACCGGTGTCGCAATGTTTTGTGTGACGAACTCGATTCCCGAACCTTTTTTCCAGGGGGAAGGTCTAGATAGCTTTTCTTTAAGTAAAATCTCTTCTACTTACACGGTGATCTTGCAATTGAGATCGAGATCAACTGCTGCCTCGTAATAATGCCCATTGAGGTTTTCGCGACAGTTACCGAACCACCAGCCGCTGAAAAAGTGAATTTTTGCTTTAATCTGCCAATGCTTATTGCTTGCGTAACATTTTTGGAACCTTTGAAACTTTCTATTCAAAACCAATCCCACCCTGATCCTTCCGTGTATTTTGGGCCGTCATAGATGACTTTGCAATACTCATTATCATCGTTATCTTTCCAAGAGTCATATGTGACAAATTTTCGTCTAAATTTTTTTCACTCAATCAAAATTTGTTCTCATACCCAAGATCTGTGCCATAACCGTCCGTGTTATCGGCGTAATTGAGGCCAATGCCGAGGGTGGCTTTTCCAGTCAACACATAGCCAGTGGACGAGTCACTCACCGGAAAAAGCAATGATAAATCTCTATCAGAATATTTGGCTACACCCATTTTTCTCTATCAGAATATTTTTCCAGCGATTTTCGGTTATTTAGGGAATGAGTTTTGAATCAAATCAGGTAGAAGCTAAACCAAAATTGAACTATAAAATGCATCAGTGTTGAGCGCTAGTTGAAAATATATGTAAACGAATAGGAAATTGTACTTATTTTTTTGTTACCTGGACTTCAGTGTAGTACTGCTTGGAGATCGAAGTGTCTCCACAGCAAACTTCAATCATCAACGAGTAACTGAAACAAAGATCTTTTTAATAATCTTTTTCTTCCAACCTTTGGTCATTCTTTGCTGTCAATTGATTTATATTATCTAATCCGAGCCAGAAATTGTTCCCCTTGTCCGCGTCTCCAATAGGCTCCTTGTATTTGTCAAAAGTCACATCAAAATCTGTGCTGTCCTTTTCTCCGCGTCTAAATATTCACAAAATGTAAGCAAAAGATTTTTGGGACTAACCCCTGGATATGAGTGAGAGCCACGTTGGAGGCAAATGAGCAATACACCTAAAAGGATTTGTATGTAAAGATGGCTGTGGGTCGGATCTATCTAATCCGATCCATTATCATGTTTATCTTGTCTATTTTTTCCTGAACCTGAACGATTTGACCATTGATGAGAATTGGGTATACTCCATCAATTTTTGATTCCATCTCTTCACAATCTTTTGCGGTAATCGGGGCTGAAAGCAAAGAGTAGTTATAAAAATTGTGTAGATTCTGCAACCTGACGTCGATGGTGGCTCCTCGGTGGAGGGCTCGGTGGCAGCTGAAAAGTGGGATTTACGATAGCATTCTATCAATCTGCTCAAAGCGTAATGATCAGACTAGCATTTTAACTACTATTCGATCAGTTTATAAATCTCGAAATCAAAAAAATAACTGTATAAACACGAACTCGTATGGGTCGGTGTAGGGGCTTCGGTTGTGGTCGGTGGAGGGGGCGGTGTTGGCAGATTTCCAGTCGCTTTCCATGCCACCGATAACCTGAACTTTTTGTTGGAAATTCGATTTTTGTCACGAACATTGTCGGATCAAGGAGATTTCTCGGATGAGAAAAATACATGAAATTGTTTGGTGTGTTCCCATCGTCGAATTGTTGCTGATAGCTGTCAATGATGGCTCCACCGCGAGCCTCGCGAATCTCGACAGACAACGAGAAACCCTAGAAAGATGAAAACGTTCCAATCATACTGTCGTTTCTACGCCTTAAATGGAAATTGAAACAGTGATGCATTTAAATTTGCATATAATCGTGAATGGAAATTGAATAGTGGGCCACTTGGATACAAATTCCAGTTAGCTTTTCTCACTCACCGCATAAATTGCATCAGTGGAATTATTTGGGAAAACACTCGGGTTTTTCCATGCCCCATAGATAGTGCCTCCTCCCTAACAAATTAAAGCAATTAGAGAAATAAGTCAAAATGGAACTACCGCAAAATCGACGGCATTCGAATTTGATGTCACATTTGAGAGATCGATCGGCGTTGGATTGGGACACGGGTTGCTCACATTCAATGGAACGCCCAAACAAACTCCCAACTGAAGTAGGGATTGGAAAGTGACAAGAAAATGTATCACTAATGGGAGTTGAGGTACGCGGTACGCGTTTCACTCAAGGTACGCGTTTTCGAAAACTACTGTAACTTCGAGAACTGACTCTAGTCTTTGTTCAATCCAATCTACTTTTGGCAATGAAGATTCACGAAGGATACTGAACTAGATTTGATAAAAACTACAGGATTACGGTAGTTTTAGAATTTAAAACATTTTAGAAAGCGCATTAGGAACATTTTCGCTTAGTTTTTTTTAAGTTCAGTTATTCATTCAACCTTCAACTGTAGATTGCATTGATCTCCGAGATTCCACGTGTCCGTGCAATGATCTCCACTTAGCAAATACCCCTGTCCGACATCGAGGCGTCGCAGGTAGATTGTCAAACTGTACTCCCCAAGCACATCCTAGATAAGTACTGTAGTTTAGCCTCCAAACACTTTTCCCTACCCCAAGCAACAACAAAACGATCAATAATCGCATTTGAATAGATTTTAAGCGAAAAATGAATCTACACAGCTGCCCTCTTTTGTATTGGGGAATTTTGTAGAAGGGGAAATGGATAAAAGACAGTGGGATGAATGGGGGAAGGGTGGCTTGTCCCCAAAAGTTGTAAAAGTTCTTATCATTGAGTGAGGGTGTGTCGAATCTCTTGCCTTCTCCTTCCGATATCTACCGATCCGTGTAAATTTATGAGCCTTCAAACGCCATAAAATATTGACAGAACAACCACTGACGCAACCGCAAATTTTCTTTGTTTTAAAAGGGGTGACCCAAAAATTCCCTGACAACTAAAGAATCTGATAATGAACTAAATTGTCAGCGGGTAACTTGATAAAAATTCGTCGACAAGTTCCTTTTCTTTCTTCCAAATCAAACAGCGTCCAAGCCCAATCGTCAGCCTTTCAAATTTCTCTTTGCCGATTTGACCGTATAACTAACTATAAAAATCTCATTTATTATTCTTAACAATCAATAAGAATAATATAAGTAAATATCACAAATTTCAAGGCATCACAGAAATTAAACAAAACATAAAGATTAAAAAAATTTAAACCTGAGACACATTAAACATTTTTATTGGGTGGTTGAGTTGCTCGATGCGCAGAAACACAGGTTGGGGCGCAGAATTCAAACGTTGAATAGGTGAATGGCTTGTTTGGTAGAACGCCGCCACACTACAAAAAACTTTGATAAAAGCTTAAAATTTCAGATACCTGATAGCATCGGGCACGTTGAAGGTTTTCCAACACAGCAAGACGAGCTTCAGCCGCTCGCGCTCGTTTTTCTCGATCCGGCAAGGCCAACCACGCTTCTTTTGCTGCCGCTTCCTCTGCAAGTGCCTTCTCTTCAGCCTTTTTCGTTCTTTGATTTTCCTAAATGAAAATTTACAGATATCTACAAACTAAATTAAGATACTTTTTGCCTCGTCTTTTTTTAGTTTCCGTTTTTCACGCTCGAGTGCCAATTGCTCTTCGTTTTTCTCAGCCTAAAGAAAAAAAATACAGTAAAAATTATCAACTACTTTAGGTGTTGGCACAGGAATGTGCGTTGATCGCCAATCAATCCGTGTGTCCTCATTTGAATTAGCGCGAAAATTCATAAAAATAAGGCGAATCGATTTATCAAGTGACATCTAAAAGATTTAAACTTTTATTAATTACAGTAAAAATATCTAACCTGAAAAGGAACATCTCCGTTGTTATTTCTGATCGATAAATTTGAGCAGAGACGTAGGAGATACTAAATAACATTAGAAATTTAGAACTGGGCAGTCAGGTAAGAAAGTAAGACTTCACCTCAAGCGCTTTATGCGAACCATTTGATGCAGAGATATGCATTAACGTATTCCCAAGCGGTGGATAGGCCATCTCGTTGATGAATTGGATGGCTCGTTCACGGTCGCACGGGCATGTTTCCAGAAGTTTCTAGAAAAATGATTGTAATTATGATAATTTAAAGCTTAATAATTACCTGTAAAGTCTCGGGATCGTCATTTCGAACAACCGCGTACACATTCGATTTCCATTGTTTGTCAATCTTAATAAAAACATTATCAGATTAAGTTAAAGAAGAACCAACATCCGAAAATGGATCGAGGACTTCGCGCTCCTCTTTGTCAAATTGGAGATCGGCATTCTAAAACTAAGAATTTGAAGTAAGTTCATTTAAATGGGACCTTTTTCTCTGTTCTTTCTGTTTTTCGCTGCCTTTCTTCATTCTCGTTCTTCTCGTCTTCTTCGCTGTCAATAATATCGTTTAATTTCGTGTCTTTCTTTTTCTTCGTAAGTTGAACGCCCGACTTTTTTATTTTGAGCAGCTTTTAACTAAAATGCATATTTTTTTTTGAAAAACAACCAAAATTCTTACCTCTTCCATAAATTTTTCATATGTACCATGCTCAAAGACAGAATCAAGCAGGTTATAGGCACGTTTCAACTCATCGATACTTGGCCGCTTGGTTTCAAAGGGAAATGATCTGGAAATTATTGTTTTCTAAAAAATTAAAAATAGAACAAACCTAATTCGTTGATCGTTTTTATCAAACAATCTTTCCGAAAAGAAAGCTTGCCGTTGATAGCTGCCACAACGAATAAATATTAACGGAATCGAAGAAAGTGGTGCTGACCATTCTTTGATTAGACCTTCGATCCCCGTATGTAAAGCACGTTCATTATATCTAAAGAATTCAAGCCAACTTTAAAATATTATTTTTATGTTTACCTTCTCAAAGCTGCTCCAGCCGAGTGAGCCATCCCATTTTTCGAATCATTGGCTGATTGTGCTCCGCCTTAATCGTTCATTTAGCCTTTAATATCAGAAAAAACTGACCTTGTTTAGCGCGAACGGTATATCGATGTATTGTTTTGTGTAGCGTCAAAACACCCCTAGCATATGAATAGTACAACTTCTTCAAAAGTTGAACAAACCTTTTAAAGATACCGCCTGCAAAGTGTCCACCAGCTAACATGAAAATGGCGCAGTCAGTTGTCATTCGGAAAAATTCGAGTCCAATGGCCTTTCCGGAGAAACAATGCATTTGTAAACGGAAAATACCTAGACACAAATAAATATTGGAATAGATCAAGAGGCAACCTGTCCATCTTGAATGAAGTACTCATGAGTAGAGCCAAGCAAACGATCCAAAAATACATCATCATCGCTATCGGAAGAAAGTGAGGAAACTTCATCTGAAAACAATTTTTAAAAAACAAATTACGAAACTATCCACCTTTTTCGACCTCTTCTTCGTACAATTCTTCAGCTAGAGGTTCTTGTCCCCGTAGCGCCCGAGATGCGTTGTGACGATGCCAATCGCTGCTAAACACCAAATTTAGAAGTCTATCCCATCAAAATTACCGATAATGATCGAGAATCCCTTGTCGCTCCTCGGGAAGTGGAATCCGGCATGATGTGCACGTAGATGTTTCATCTAAAAAAATCAGCATATCACTCCAACCAAAAACATGTGCCAGTTTTTAAGACAGCAAAAAGGTGCAAGACCCCAAAAAATTTACCAAAATTTCGAAATGGGTCGAATTCCTCCACTTGCGACGTCAATTCAACGGAGCTCGTCTGAAAGGGCTCGATCCCTCGTAACCATCGAGTGTCTGCGAGTGTGTAGCTGGCTTTCAGTCGCATTCCTGAAAAAATAACTTGAAGAGTTTGTCAAAAATTGAAAAAAATCCAAGGAAAATGAAAGGAATTGCGGGGAATAAGTGAGAAATTCTTGCTTGTAAAGACCGTGTTCAAAGAAATTATGACTTTTAAGACATTGATTTAAAAATCTGCTAGTTTATACTTGAAGCAATTCATTTGTTATAATGAAAGGGCAATGGTGAAAAGTGGTGCAACAAAAAGTCCCTCCGTTGCCAGTACAGACTAGGGCTAATGACAACGAAGTTATAGACCCCGTTCACCAAATTCTCTCTAGAAATTATGCCTTCCTTTGGTTTAAATTTTGTTTTCCTTTGCAATCTAACAAATTCTAACATTTCAACTTTTTAGTGCTCAACTTGGGTAAAAACAAAGGGTGATGAGCGCCTCTTCTCACCTCATAATCCCTGGAAGGCTGAGTTTCAAATTAAAAGTGAGTTTCTTTTGGCTAATCCTAAATTTCGTTCTTAAATTTAGCAATCACTTCTTGCAAGCAGATGGTTCAGCGGTGGGACGAGTGCAAACAAGCCCATCGAGAAAATACGAAACATTGGTTGGGGATTTCTAACTTTTTTTATTTATTCTCTTTAGGAATCTCGGCGCATATCGACTCTGGGGAAAACCACCGTCACTGAAAGGATTTTATACTATGCGGGGAAAATTGATTCGATGCACGAGGTGAGTATTTAGCTACAATAATTAAATAAACTTTATGGTTTAAGGTAAAAGGGAAAGATGACGTGGGAGCCACGATGGATTTTATGGAATTGGAGCGACAACGAGGCATCACTATTCAATCAGCCGCCACATACATTGACTGGCATGGAACAAATATAAATATCATCGATACGCCAGGTTGGTCATTTAAAATTTTTGCTTATTTCTCTTATTAATGACGAAATATTATTCTTTTAGGTCACGTTGACTTTACGGTCGAAGTGGAGCGCGCACTTCGAGTGCTTGATGGAGCCGTTTTGGTGTTGTGTGGTGTAGGAGGCGTGCAAAGTCAAACTTTTACCGTCAACCGTCAATTATCTCGGTTATTTTTAGCCAATTTTCTTAGCAAATTTAATTTTTAGCTATAAAGTTCCCTTCATTTGTTTTGTCAATAAAATGGATCGCACTGGGGCTACTCCTTTTCGTGCCGTCGAAGGCCTACGAGGCAAATTAGGGCACAACGCGTCGCTAATTCACTTGCCAATTGGAAAGGTAAGTTCTTCGAAAATTATAATAACGTAATTATTGTTCAGGATTCCGATTTTCGCGGGATCGTAGATTTGATAAACGAGTGTGCTATTTATTATGAAGGAGAAGGTGGACTAACAGTACGAAAAGATGAAATCCCTCAAGATCTACGTGTGCAAGCAAAAGATCTACGAGACGAAATGATTGGTGAGGCTAAAATTTTTAATTATTGGTATGATTATTTTAGAACATATTGCAAACGGCGATGAAGAATTAGGAGAGCTCTTTTTGAATGATGTCAAACCAAATGTTGATCAAATTCACTCAGCTATTCGACGGTAGTATTTTTAAAAATTACACGTCAACATTTGTTTTAGATCTGTGGTAAAGCGTAGTTTCTTGCCAGTCTTATGTGGTTCTGCTTTAAAAAATAAGGGCGTTCAAACAATGATTGATTCCGTTGTGCGGTACGTTGATTCTTTTTATTTTGGAAAGTCAGTGACCATTTAGTTATCTACCGAATCCAGGCGAAGTAACAAACCTTGCCAGTATCAAAGATGGTGATAAGGAGAAGTCAATTATACTGAATCCTGCTCGAAATAATTCAAATCCGTTTGTCGGGCTTGCTTTTAAATTGGAGGTAAAATAGTTTTAGTAACTGTTTCAAATAACAAAAATTCTGTTTAGGCAGGAAAGTATGGCCAACTAACATATTTCCGAATATATCAAGGACAGCTTTCGCGTGGTGATACGGTTTACGCGAGTAAAGACGGCAGAAAGGTTTTATTGCCGTATTTTTTTCATGCTTTTATTTTTTAAAGGTTCGCGTACAAAAATTAGTTCGGATGCATGCTGCGGATATGGAAGAAGTGGAAACCGCTTATGCCGGAGACATTTGCGCCACATTTGGATTAGATTGTCATTCCGGAGAAACGTTTACAAGCATGCCAGAGAACCCGCCACATTGTGTGAGTGATAACCTCTTTATCTTTAAATAAACTCCTGATTTTAGGAATCTATGCATATTCCGGAGCCAGTTATTTCAATGTCAAAAAACCAGTGAATCGTAAGGACGGAGAAAATTTTATTAAGGCGTTGACTCGTTTCACCAAGGAGGATCCGACATTCAAAAGGTTTTTAAAAGTTATGCCTAAGTATTCATTTGCTTTAGGGAATATAACGCAGAGGCAAAAGAAACCGTTGTGAGTGGAATGGGTGAATTGCACTTGGAAATTTATGCTCAACGAATGAAAAGCGAGTTCAATTGTCCGGTTGAATTGGGCAAACCAACTGTGGCCTATCGAGAATCTATTGCGGATCCATACAAGTTTCACTATCGGCACAAAAAGCAAACTGGAGGTAAGGTATCTCGAAATCAAAAATTTTGTTCACTTTTCTTTTGCTAACTAAGAAATTTCAGGACAGGGTCAATTTGGACAAATCGAAGGAGTTCTCGATCCATTACCCCCAGATCAGTAAGCATCTTTTACTTACCTAATTGTATCTACTTGAAATTTAGGAATACCATCGTTAAATTTACCGACGAGTGTTTTGGAAACAGCATCCCAAAAAATTTGTTCCCAGCTTTGAAGAAAGGTCTTGATATGATTACACAGGAAGGCCCGTTAATCAAGCAAAAGTAAGCTATTCGAATTGTTTACGTTTTAGGCAAATGTTTTAGGATTGCTGGTATAAATGTGCGGATACAAGATGGAGAGACACATGCGGTCGATTCTACGGAAATCGCGATGATTAATACTATGGCAAATATGATGCGTGAAGTTTGAAAGTTGACTTGTTTCCAAAATTCTTATTTTATTTAGGCTTACGAAAGAGCTAACTGGATTTTGCTGGAACCAATTATGAAAGTCGAGGTTACGACGCCCAGTGATTTTCAGGTACGGGCATTTTTACTTGCATTCTTCTATTTTTTATTTTAGGGTAGTGTTGTTGCATCTCTCACCCAACGAAACGCTTTAATTGTTTCAACGGACTCGCATGAAGGATACACTACGGTATTTATAGACTTTAACGAGCTTTGGGAACATTGCAATACTTTAGATCGTTTGTGAAACGCCGCTTTCTGATATGTTTGGCTACACGTCTTTGCTACGTTCAGTAACCGAGGGAAAAGGCGAATTTAGTATGGAGTATTGCCGGTTCGTTTCAAGTAGTTCATTTTTGAAAATTAACTTGAGTAAATAAGAAGCGTTTATTTTTTGTATCATGTTCATTCAGCTATACTCCGACATCAGCAACGACACAAGAAAGTATAATTCGGCAGTGGAAAGTAGAGCAAGGCCTCATAGATCCAAAGGTCGAGGCGAAAAAGAAAAAGCGCTAAAGCTTTGTGTTAATAATGATCTCACGTGATATTAGTTTAGTTTTTGTTATTAGGGCTTGGCTAGCTTGATTTAGCATTTTTTGATTTTTTGTTATTGTTGATTGTTATTTGATTAGGTTTTAATAAATTTATACGCAAAATCTCAAATTTTTTTACCTGTTATCCATCAGGATTTTACTTAATCTGTTACAAATTTTCTCGGGAGGAGACGAAATACCAACATTTGTTGATGTTTTGTTGCTTTAGGTTTACGCTTGCGCGACCGGCGAGCAATGAGTGGTGGAGTTTATGGCGGAGATGAGGTCAGTGGAATCGTTTTTGATGCTGGCTCTCATTCATTTCGTATTGGCTTTGCTGGAGAAGAATTGCCAAACGTGAGTTTAACCTTATTTGGCCCGTAAAACACCTACTAGCTAACACATCTGCTCTCAAAACAAAGAATGGTCAGATGCAACTACATTTTGTTAACAGCAAATTTACCATATTTTTTTAGTTCGATATACCATCGGTGGCTGGAATCCATGAATACGAAACTAACGACGAGAATTCGATCATGCGAAGAGAGAAAAAGGTTCACATAGGAACTACGAAAGTAAGTTGTCTTAGGTTAACATCAACTTTTAGTCAAATTTTTAAGATGACTGTCCCTCGGTCGAATTGTGAAATGAAGAATTTTATGCACGATGGAATGAGTAAGATACCTATGGAGACTTATTAAAAGGAGAAATTTAGTCGACGATTGGGATCTTTTTGAACAAATGCTCGACTTTGCCTACAAAGATTGTCTTCGAACTGAAAGCCAATATCATCCTGTACTATTCTCAGAAAGCGCCGTACGTTTTTGCCTATTTATTTCGAATTCTATTGCCTTTTTAGTGGAACGAGAAAGCAAAGCGGGAAAAACTTACCGAGTTGATGTTTGAAAAGTACAATGTTCCCGCATTCTTTGTCGTGAAAAATGCAGTTTTGACAGCGTAAGTGTTACTCTTTTGAATTTTTAACTGTGATATTTTAAGATTTTCAAATGGGCGTACTGCAGGATTGGTCGTGGATAGTGGAGCAACTCAAACATCAGCTGTACCAGTCTTTGATGGATATTGTGTAACTCATGGTGAGACATACTTTAATTTAAATTTCTATAAAATCTTTTAGCCGTTGTTCGTAGTCCGATTGGTGGGGATCTCATTTGTGAGCAGATCGAGAAAATGCTGGCTGAACAAAAAATTGATCTTGTGCCAACATACAAGATAAAGTCGAAGGTTCGTCTTTTCCAAAAGGCTTACAACTTTCAATTTAGGAGGAGGTTAATGAAAATGAACCACCACGCTGGACAGAAAAGAATGGTCTTCCCGAAGTCACGGAGAGTTACGATAAATACATGCGAAAACAGGTAAAATATTTCCATTATAAAATGTCAAGAACATATACTAGATTGTCGAAGATCTTGCTCAGTCGATACTTCAACTTTGTGATTCACCTATTGATGTTGAATCGGCGGAAAAGCTTCCATCTTCCCCATATGGTTTTCCGAATGGCTTCCACAAAGTTCGTAACATAGAATTCCATTAACAACTCGTTTAGTTATTGAGCTCTAAGTAACCTTTTTCATTGCCATTTTTTTAGGAATTTTTGGCCGAACGCATCAAGGTACCTGAAGGCCTTTTTGATCTGAAATACCTTCGTGATGTGGACAATTCCACGTTGATGAACGTGAGCCAAATTGCTTCGACGGCCTGTGGGATGTGTGATATTGACATCAGACCGGTAACTGAAAAAAGTATTTGAAGCAAACGTGTTTTAGAATCTTTATTCCAATCTGCTCGTCACTGGCGGGAATTCACTTATTCTTGGATTCACCGAACGCTTAAACCACGATTTGGCACACAAATGCCCACCGGTAGTTCTTTGGAGTATGTTTAACTAAAGTTTCTTTAGACTGTGAGACTGCGTTTAAGCGCTCCACCACCAGCAGAACGCCGCTTTGGACCATGGATCGGAGGATCAATTCTTGCCAGCGTGGTTAGTTTCAATTTTCTAATTACCGCTGGCTACTTGTTTGTTTTAGGGAACTTTCCAACAAATGTGGATAAGCAAGACAGAATACGAGGATGGTGGACGAGGAATTGTTGAGAAGAAATGCCCATGAAGTATGGTTGTGTACTATTTTTTCATGTACTATTTTTAATTTTTTTTACCTTTTTTAACATGTACTTAATTTCTCAATAATACGATTTTCATAATGTATCATGTTTTAATTTTGTGTAAGTTGATTATGATCTCGTGTTTGTCATTATCTCATTTCTTACCTATTTATTGATAAACAATTTCACTTACAAAGCACACTGGGATATGTACGCTTGATTCTGGCAGAAATTTTTGGTATATCTAGTTTCCAATTTATACAGCGTCTGATGCTTATTAAGGAAATGCCTTATTTATCAAAAAGCAACAACAACGGAAATTCGTCAAAAGATCAACTCTATTTTATTACACGCTTGGAGCATTCTCAACCAATAAAAGCAACTTGTTCATGGATGGAAGCTTGCCGAGACATTTCAAAATACAAAGCACAAGGTAATAAATTTATTTGTTTGCGTAGTGCCAGATAAAAGTTACTGATGCATCTCACAATTAAATGAATAGGACCGGCATTTGCGGACGGATCGATAAATTGGGAATGTCCCTGTATGGGCGGAGGAACGCTTGTTGCACATCGATGTGGTCATCATTTTAGGTATTTTTAAGTATTTGATCAAGCTTGTAAATTTTAGAAAACTGTACAAATGCATGAAAGCGAGTGATGAAAACGATGCAATGGTGAAATGTCCTGAGCAATTCATCGATTGGGCCACTTGTATGCAAAATTTGAATGGTAATTTTTTTACATTATGAGTAAAAATGGTGGTTTTTAAGAAAAGGCACGAGAAGCGATGAAAAGAAATTTACTCGAAGAGAATCGACAAAAAACACCTTCCAAATAGATTTGCATTCGGGAGAATAAATATCTGCTATAGTCTTTTCTTTTAGTGCGTTGAGAGAAATTTTTCATCTCTTCGATCTCTATTTACATTGAAAGTTTGACGATTTCATATTTACAATGTTACGTAAAAGATTGCGACAAAAGATATCGATGTCTTCATCTTCACAAATAATTTTTCTACCCATTTCGTCGAAAAAAGAGCCAACACCCGCTCATTTGACTCACCTAAAGGAACCAATTGACACCGTTTGTAAGTTTTTATAAGTTTCTGCCTATGAGATTATGGTCTTTACTACCTAGTCTCTCAATTTAACAGAAGGTATACTGTATCAGAATCGATTTTCAGCCTCCGTTCTCCCGGATGGTCGAATCAACCCTGAATGTCCATGTCTCGAATCAGCTTTGGCTCACAGGTTTACCTGAAAAATCTCTAGATACATAGATTTATAGATGCGGTTTTTTGATCCGAGATGCGATCACTTGTTTCAACAATTCGAAGAGTGAGCCAAGAGGTTCAGAGATTTCTATAAGTAGTCATAAGCTTATTGAATCTTTGACGCAAAATGTTCGGAATTAAGAAAAGAAAGTATTTGAACTATAAGAAAAGTATTTGCCTGGTGCTCAAATTTAAAAGCTTTGAAAATTCAACCTTACTACATAGTTAGCAAATTCGAATCTCGATGCGTAAATCCTATCCAAATTGCAGGCGCCGAGTGTGAAGAGGAGTTCACAAGGCATGCGATGTGTCTCATCAAGAAATGATCTCTCGACGACACTCACTTCATAAGATGAATCTCAAAAAAGAGCTTATCTTCATCATATGTATAAAATTATCGAAAACTTGAAGGGAAAGTTGTAAAAATACAGTAGACCAATCTATCTATCGTAATACTATAATAGATAATCTTCATTGTCACTTATAGCCGTTATTTTAAAAATTGAATTCCGTTTTTAATGCTAAAATGCTAAAGTACCATAAAGAATGGGTTATTTTTGTAAAAACATGATATTTCAAAACTTATTGGTGTTTTAAACGTTACGGTAGTTGCCTAGAGGACAAAAATTTCGTTGAACGTTGGACGAATGTCCAAACTAACAAATAAATTTTGCAATTTTTTGCAAATTTTTCTTTCAACTTTCTTTCAAAGTTGAACTCAAAACTCGTCCCTTTTTATTTTTTTTTGTCTTTTTCTTTCGTTTCTTTTAAGTGTCTGCAGAATATGTGATGAAGGAGAGAATCCGGGAGAATGGGAATTCCCCTTTCCCCAAAGACAATGTCTTTCTTTATTTTTAAATCAGAGAACTTTCAAGATATTCGGTTATTCTTTTTGGATAAAATATCCATGTGTCTCTTGATACCTATCAACTATTCTCGAAGGAAAACAGATCCTGGAAAGAACCCAATTTTGGGGCAAGATTTCACTCCAATTTATTCACTTAACGATCTTTCTTGGAAGCTTTTTTCTCTCTTTGTTCTCTTCATACATTTTATTATTAAACTAGTTTTGAAAGTTTAAGAAATATAGGTAGTTTTATATTCAGAAACTTTTGCTCTCACAATTGTTTCATCTCTTACAGCCTCACAATTAGTCCACATTTTAGCAACCAGCTTTCCATTTTCTAAAGTGCAATGCTCCTTTGTACTTTAGAAAAGAAAATGCTCTTTGCTAAAATGCAGAAAGTGATTCATTTATCTGATACTTAACGAAAGCCACATCCGGATGTACAGTCATGTCTTTTAACACTCAATTTTCTAAAAAGTTTCATCAATTTTCTTTGATAAAGTTCATGGCGCTCTTTAAGCCATTAATAGTTTTAGTTACACAAATATATGTACAATTTATTTATTCAAACGTCATCCCTATACAACACTTATTCATCGAAAAAGAAATCTAACTATCTCTAAGAAATCTAACTATCAAAACACCCCTGAAAATCTTGGTGCTATCTTTTAACACAAGAGGAAATTAAGTTATAATCAATATTTTCTTGGTCCTCCTTTTGACAAAAAAGTACTTCTTTGATACGAGTAGGGACTTAATTTTTTTTTAACACATTCACGACGACCGTACTAATGACGATTATTTTTGGTGTCAACTCGTTTTTAAGGATTTTGTTATTTATTTCGCAGAAAGTTTTTGGTTGAGAGAAAAAGACTCAGATGGGCTGGCCACGTAGCCAGAAGAACAGACGACAGATGGACGATACGGATCACAGAGTGGCTACCACGAGACCAGAAGAGGCCCATCGGAAGACCAGCAACGAGGTGGAGCACAAGAGTGGCAGAGACGGTCAGAGAAAGGATGGCTAGAGTGCAACCACCACCAGCACAAGCAAGTCGAAGACTTCGAACCAGGAACAATCAAGATAGGAAACACTGGATGACAATAGCAAGGGATAGAGAAATGTGGAAGCAGGTTGTGATCTGCGCAAATAGGAACACCTGAATGCGAAGACAAATAAAAAAAAAAAAGTTTTTGGTAACTTTGTATTAGCTTTCAAGATTCCTTTTTGGAGAATGTATCAAAACTTCTATCAAAACATTCAGGGCTATCAAATCACTATAATAATAGGTTGATGCATAAGTCTTTTTGTTCCTTTTCGTCTGCCGTTTCAAGCCAACAAATGCACCAATTAAACTACGGTTGATTTCATTAGAAAAACCAATTATTTTTCTGCAAAATAACATTAAAACGGGTTTAAAAATATTTTATGCCTGGATTTTCTTGAGAGTATGAAGTCGGGTAGTCAAAAAGGGCTAACTCGATGATGCGGTTTAGACACCTTAGCTAAAGAAACCCTATCTTCGTGTCAATAGATAAAGATAGAGAAAAAAAAGTTTGATATTTCGCCAAAATTTCAGAGAAATTCATTCAGCCAATTTTTCCGTAGAGTTTTTTATAGATTTTTACGAAAAAGGCGTTTTTCACTCTCGAATTTGCTTCAAAGTGAACCGAAATTGATTTAAAAAGATGGAAATTGAACAAAAAAACACTTTTTTTTATAGAGCAAACTATAGATTAATTGGTGAATTTGTTACTTTTTAACAGAAGTACAAAAAAAACGAAAAGACTTATGCATCAACCTAATAGTTTAGTTTATTTTTGAATTTTTATCAAGTTATCAGTAAAACAGTAACGACTACGTGACTGTACGCGAAAAATAGTCGTCGCGAATGTGTTAAAACAAATTTTTCATCTCCTTTTTGATTCTTTCATATTCTTTTTCAATTTCATTTCCACTACTCTCGTCGAGTTGTAAAGCTGATTTTTCTCAAACTCGATTCCTTTTTGGAGAATGAAATCTCAGATAGAAAGAGATCCCCTCAAAAACATCTTTTATATGAGAAAAAGGATATAATTCCGCGAAAAGCGAATAAAATTTTGGATATTGAAGAAAGAAAAAGAGGAAATCTATTCAAAAAGAATCATACTCGATTCCCTGACAAAAATCTCTCAGAAGTTTTGAATAGGCTTTGACGGCATTTTTGACATATCTTGCAGTTCCGCACGTTTTTTTTGAATTTTTGAGGGTTCAGAACACAGTTCAAATCTTGGTTCGATGGTTTTTTTTGATGCTTTTGTAGCAGAACTTAAACCTGACTTTAGCTGGATGTTTGATGTTTGATCTCGACACTGATACTTATTTAGAACATTGATTGGCTTTTTTTGGTGGTTTTTTTGTACTCCTTTCACTCATTTTCTGACATTTCGTTACTTTTCTGCGGGTGAAAACGAAAACTTTTGTAATTGGGGTGAAACGAACGGAAAGGAATCACATGTTGCAAATGAAAAAGCGATTTTTTTTTCTTTTTTAGAGATCTTTGAGAAAAAATGATGGTATGAGTGGGTTTTCTAAAAGATATTTTTGAACTACCGTATATAAACCGTATGTTTGAATTACTATATCGTATATAAACACTTTTAAGCTAATCACATGATCAGTTCTCATTCAATCAACCAGATTTGGCCACATTTACCAATCACAAGACTCATCCAGTGCTACCAAAGCTCTTCGTAATGTTTTGTCCACCGCAGCAGTCCTTGTATCAGTTTGAGGGTTTGATGGCGTCTCTTTTCCAATTAAAACTATATGCTATTCCTCAAAATGCCTCGCTTTTTACAAATAATAAGGATGTTCTCTGTGATGTAGTCGCCCTTTTT